TGGAGGAGGAGAGGTTGCCGGGGTTCCCAGAGGGGTTCCTTTTCCGCCTGCTCGAACAAAGACAGAACATACACGACTGCTGAGCCTCACTATCAGAAAGATAGTTATTTTCAGCCCAACTATTACTGTGAAGAAGGCTGCTAAAGCTAACTTTCTGGGGATCTTGAGCAGTCTTTTTTTTCTAGGCTCACTTTACATGTTCTGAAAGCTCCAGAGGTTTGCATTAAGTGTCAAAAACAGGTTTCCTACTGCGAGTGGCCCCCCAAACTCAGTTAGATCTAAGAGACAATTCCCAGTCGTAAAAAGCGAGCCCAAACCAACCAACCAAACCCAAACTAATGCAGACGCACCAGTTGTGCCAAAGAATCTGCTGCAAGGGTGGGGCGACTCAGGCGGGACGTTCCCAGGAGAAGTTGGGGGCGTGGTCACACCGCAGACCGCAGATGGGCTCCAGAGAGTAGCCTGGGAAGTCAGTGAGGCATGTCAGTGAGGCGGCGTGGACACTGAATCAGCCCAAGGTTTACATGCGTGACCAATGGCCGTTTTAAACCGGAAAAAGGCGTCTCATTAAAGCTGCGTTTTCTAAGTCTAGACTCCAAGAGAAAACTGAGTGGCTACGGGAACTTTCTCTAACATCACCTATCCTTAAAAATAACCTTTTGAAACAAGCAGTGTCAGATTTTCCCAAACCACATGCTAACTCCCGACCCAAACGGTCAGCTTCACCAACAAGCAGAGAGGAAAGCGGGCACGTCTGACACCATACTTGTGGCGGCTCGGCTAACGGCCGTGTCGACGAGGAGCCCTGAGCCGGAGGTAGCTGCCCGGGCGTACTGGACGTCGGCCGGGAAGTGGAGCGAGGGGTGGAAGCAGCACTCCCTAAGGTGAGAGAGAAAGAGCACGCGGGGTGAGCGTGGGCGTCTGGTCACCCTGACAAGTCGGCAGGGCCTCTAGACCGTTCGATAAGATTCCGTTCCCAATATTTAAAAAATCTGAGAGGACTCCTGACATCCTTGGGGACAAAGTAACATTTAAATGGGCCTTTAAATGCTCGTTGGAAATCAAGTGCAGTAAGGTCTGCTACCCAGTTAAACGTCAGGAGAACTTGAAAAGGCATGGGCTGGATGACAGCCTCCGCGGGTGCTGCCTGCAGGTGAGCCCAGATTTCTACGTCAATCCAGTTCCAACTGTCCAGGTGCACTCAGGCCGTGTCGGTTCCATGACCCAGAGGGCCACACAAGAAGTGTCAGAAAGCAGAAAGTGTCCCTGTGGGTGGGGCCTAGAAGTCTCAGACCTGAACCATTTTTTTTTTTTTAAGCACTGAAGGCACATCCACGTGGGTTGCTGTTTGATCAGATACGAGATCAAGGACATGGGACTCAATGCAATTTGAAAGAGGAATTATTAACCAGGAGAAAATGGAGGCAAATTCGAATTTTAAATATTTGGGAAACGGCTCCCAGGAGCTGAACTAAGTCTTATTGTAGGAAAAGAAAATAAAGTCAATAAAAATAAACAATGCTTTCCAGAGACAAAGTGATACAGCAGACAGAGAAGTACCAAAGTCAGTTTTTACCATAGTTATTCTGTGTGTCGACGTAAGGGCCTGCGGTGCCATCGGCTGCACGGTGAGGGAAGCGGGCTGAGTTTTGGTGAGACACAGAATAGCCATCTTCACATGAGGCTTCTGTGGGGTCCAGAGAGATTTTGGCACACTCTACTACAACATCATGTGTTTCCAATTTCCTCCACCTGTAAAAGGCAGCGAAAGCAAAAAATACGAGTTGTAATCTATTTAATCAAACAGTCAAATAGGTACAAGTGCTAACTCAACGCCAGCCACTCGCCCCTGATTAGCAAAGAACAAGGCAGAACCACACCAGCCCAAGTATTTCTCAGTATTACCAAATAAATTAGCCATTCAAGTCACAAACCTAAAAGCCACCTATTCCAAATGGCTATATCGAGTTATCAGAAACTAATCTGAAACAAAAATTTCATCGACAAAAGAGTAGGCCTAGCTTTAAAACAGAACACAAACTGTGCAGAG